GTGATAAAGTAATGTTGAAAGTATCACCTTGGAAAGGAATGGTACGTTTTGGAAAAAGAGGGAAGTTAAGTCAAAGATATGTTGGACCATTCCCTATTATTGGAAGAGTTGGGGAAGTGGCCTATAAGTTAGAACTTCCTTTAGAATTAAGTGGAATTTATGACACGTTTCATGTGTCAAATTTGAGGAAGTGTCTAATAAGTCCAGATGTGGTAGTACCATTACCTGAGATTAAGATAAATGAGAGATTATGTTTTGAAGAAACTCCTGAACAGATTACTGATTTCAAAGTAAAGAAGTTACGAAACAAAGAGATTGGGTTAGTAAAAGTTCAGTGGCGTTATCATAAGGGACCAGACGCCACCTGGRWAWYAGAATCSGAAAYGAGGATGAAGTATCCTTATTTGTTTACTTAATGGAATTCCGGGACATAATTCTTTTAAGGAGGGAATATTGTAATATTCTGGTTATATTTCAAGTTTATACACACACATATATATATATATATATGTATGTATATGTATATGGGTATGTTTGTATGTGTGTAATTTTTTTTTGGTGTTAATTTAAAATTTATTTGTTTTAAATAACAAAGGGGGGAGGTCGGCTAGATGAGCCGCCTATCACCTCTCCTTCTTTTTGTATGTATATATAGATTTTTGAGAAGAAAAGGTACACACACATACTATATTTAGAAGTTTTCTCTGAAGAATCAGAAGGATTGCACCGAAAAAGGATTTCAAAAGCCTTGATACTCGATTTCTAAAGGTGAGTGTATTAGAGCTTTGGATATGAATTGTTTACATACAATTTGATAAACACTTGGAACTGGTTATTATGAATCCGGCTTCATATTATGTATGTTCTTGTTTAAACCGTTCAAGTGGTGTCCGGATTGATATCCGGATAAATAAACCGCTCATGCCTTGTCCGAAGTCTTTCCTAAACCGGCCAAGAGGTGACCGGATATCATCTAAACCGGCCAAGAGGTGACCGGATATCATTTAAACCGGCCAAGAGGTGAGCGGATATCATATAAACCGTTCAAAAGATTGGGTGGTGTATTGACCAGATTGTTTTAAACCGGTCAAAGGTTGAAACATGTATTGTCYKGTTTAATTTAAACCGGTCAAGATTATAAGTGAAGTATTGTCCGGATTTCTTATCCGGACAAAGATGTTAACTAAATTTCAAGTGTTAGGTTGACCGGACTTGTTATCCGGACAAAATTGACCGGACTTCAAGTCCAGATAAAGAGAGAAGGTTTTTGAAATGTTTTTGATATGTAATGACGGTGTAACCGCGAGAGAGATGAAATGGCGGTGTAACCGCGAGAGAGAGATGTAATGGCGGTGTAACCGCGAGAGAGATGAAATGGCGGTGTAACCGCGAGAGAGATGAAATGGCGGTGTAACCGCGAGAGAGAGATGTAATGACGGTGTAACCGCGAGAGAGATGAAATGGCGGTGTAACTGCAAGATAGATGTAATGGCGGTGTAACCGCGAGAGAGATGAAATGGCGGTGTAACCGCGAGAGAGATGTATTGGCGGTGTAACCGCGAGAAACATAAATATGCTTATGTTTCAGAACAAGTTTGATTCTAAACTGATTGTTTGGAATGTATATTGTTTGTATGAGATTTATACACTCACTATACCTTTTTGGTCTAACGCTCAGTTGTTGGACTAACTTGTTTTGCAGGTCAGTATACTTTGCAAGATAAAGGCAAAGGAAAAGCTTAGATGACGATATAGTTTGTTCTTATATGTATTAAATATATATTTTGTTAGTTCATGTTTTGTAATAATACTATTTTTAGTATTATGAGTATGATGATGTGAATTATATGTATATGGAATATGAGGGCTGTTATACACAATCTACTTGCAATCTTGAGTCTTAAGTAATATGTATTAATATACAATATTTTATACATAAAAAATAGTTTTTAAAAGTTTTTATCGAATACTTAATATAGCAGAGATCAAAACAAAAGATTACAAGAAAATAAAGAAGAATATTTTTGGTACAAAATAACATCATGTCGTCATCTCCAAACGCAGTTTTCTTTGCTTGACGGGAACACAATTTCCTGAACAACGTCCTAGTGTACTCCGGCGAAGCCTCACCGGAAAAAGTTCTATATCCGGAGATCCCGTAGTCAAAAGCATGAGGCCTCCACTCGGGAAGCCGATCAACATCAACGCCATGGCTCGCAAGATCGACGTCGATGATCGAATTCCTCTTCGTAATTATTACCGAATCGCCGATAATCTCCTCAAACAGGTATCCTTGACGATAAAAGGAAAGCCGACGAGTTATCAGTTTACTTCTGACTTCTATATCTGTTTCCTTCTTGGGGCAATTGTTTGATTGCTAGTCCACATTGATTGAAATTGAATCTGATTAGTTTATGATTTTAGTTACTTAGGGTTTACATGTTATAGATTATTTATCCGAATTGAGGTTTAGTTAACCGTCAAATATTGCTGAGGATGACTTGGTAGTTTTTAGCTTTCTATGCTTCTGCTTATCTTTTCCCCTTTGGGGCATAAAAATAAATGGTATCCATTGTTAGCAACTGGTGATCGATGTGGCTGGTGTGCCTCCATGCATTGTGTCTCTCCAACATTTGCTACCTAAATGGCAATTCCTTAATTGTATTCTAATCAAATGAACCTTTCTGCTGCTTTTGCTGATATTAGTTATGATCTATGCGTAGAGCTCCACAACTAAGCATGTTTGGTTGAGAGAGATGCTAGGATGGACGCTTTAGGTCATGGTCCAGACTTGCCTCTCTCTTAACTACTCCCTCTTGCAGGCACGATTTTAGGCCATAAAAGTTTTGTTGGTGAGGCTGACTAGTGTAAGTACTTTGTTGTGAAACATAGACATTAGATAGCCTACCTCCTATTCATGGCTATCCAGTAGTATTAACAACATTCAATAAAAATCAGGGGATTCTGTTTGTAGTGTCAAATGTGGGAAAAGTGGATTTGGCCACCCTAGTACCCTATGAACACCACACAGTCCTCTTGGTACAAACTGTAGATGACCAAATGTTCACAAGCAATGCTTCCTCCTTTCCTCATTTGCAGATTCCTATAATCTCTTTCAGCTTTCAATTGCATCCATTCTTGTATATGTCATATGCCCTTTGAACTTCTTTATGCTACACTATGATGCCAAATTATGTACATTTGACTTTATTCTGCTCTCATAATTGTTAACATGTTGAGTAAGCCTTTTTAAGGTTGTCTCTCTTTGAGCCTTCAGGATAGAGAGTGGTGCTAATATCTTTGGGACGATGTAAAGCAGTGATATTACCAAGCAGGTTAGAATCGTATCTTCCATACACAAGAATTTGGAGGAAGGGCATTAGATTTATCTTATCAAAGCAACATGGAACCACAAACGGAAAGTGGAAAAAAAACAAACCATAAGGAGGCTGTATATATACTTGTGTTCAGAATAATAGAACTAACTCCTACATAGAAAATCTTAACCATCCCAGCACAAGCCACTTAGACCTCCATGTGAATCTTAGTCTCGTAAGACATACATGACATACCCTATCAGCATGAATACGATCCCTCAATAGCATGTGAAGAAGGATCTGTGAATCATGTCTAGCAATATCAATGATTAAACTTTTATTGGCAGCAAACAAAAACTAGACAAAAATTTCTGGCCTCGTCTATCAATTTAGTTCTAACCCATTAAGGGAAGAATAAGCCATAACAACATATTTCACTATGATGAATGAGAGGGCCATCTCATCCCCAGAGATGGCCCTTCAATGACTGATTTGATGATCTGACTCCTTATTGTATACCCATTTGGCTTTTTTTTTTGCTTCATCTCTTTTTGAAATGAAAAAGAACACAATTGAAGATACAGTTCCATGGAAACCCTTGCAGGAAAATGACAGCAAGAAGGTGAGAAGAATTTACTGTGAAAAATCTTGAGAGCTGAGACTGGAATTATGTAGGGACCAATTATTCAAATCCTAGCAGAGGAAACTGCTGTGAGAAATCAGACAATGCATAAACCCTATAGCTGATATGAGTAGTAGATAAGTGAAACAGTTGAAGTGCTTTATGCCCCCACTTACAGCACTAACATCCATATTTCTTCTTTTGGGTCACCAGAAATTTTAGTTTGGCCCAGACGGTAGTAGGGTACACTGTGACTTCAATTTATTACCTACTCAAGAACTTTGTAAACATTATTTCAACCTCTCCAAAATTTAGGTAACACTGCTTATATTGTTACTTCTATGTTGTATTTTCTCCTCAAACCATATGTTTATGTACCCGCTTCTGCTTGTAATGTAAGATATGGGTTGTGGTATGAAGTGTTCACTGTGCTTTTAGAGGCGTCTCTGGTGAATCTTTTTCTATATGCATGATCTCATATGTACATATACTTGCATCTTTTGCCAACTAGAGATTTTGTGATGCAGTGTGTAATGTTGGTGTTTTTTGTGTATCTCCACTAATCTTCTCTGCATGCAGGCACGCATATATCGAGAGGAAAAGAATGTTATAGATTTGTATGTTATGCTTCTAAGATATTCAAGGTAATGAAAGAAAGTCACAATCAGATTGAAATTTAGATATTCTGACTTCTGCAACTTCATACAACTATACGGGTGCCATCTGTTTATCGTTGTTAAGTATACTATTACTTTTGTTTGTCATTTCAGTTTGGTCCTGGATACTATAAGATTTCATCGTGACTACCAGGTTTTATGTTCAAAGGAACGCGCATATTGCAAGAAGGTGAAAATGCTTCTTTGATTCATAGCTGTGTCTCATACTGTAGTTTCCTTCAAAGGGTTAAAAGTTTTGATGACAAGGTGTTATGTATTTCCCACTTTTTCCAGCAATTGCTTGTGGTGATGGATGAGTTGGAATCTTTGAAAGACGAAGTTGGCCGTCAAGTAGATGGATTGAACAAAGGTCATACTAGAAATGAAGAATCTCAACCAAATGGCCTTGGAGAAACCCTACCACATAGGTCAGGGGAGTCTTATTTTCAAGTACCTGCTGTGAATAACAGAGTTCCTTCCGGCTTTGATAACAAACAGGTAATAATTGCTGTTAGCATGTTAAGCTAAGTGGAGGGCTTAGTTGCTGAGACACATCCTATTGCATCTTTGGACAGATATTTGGCATCAGATCCTTTGTACTGGGGTTTTATATAACTGAATGCATAGGGAATATGCAAGAGTCATACCAGTATCTACTATTCAGAATACCTTGGAAAGTTCTTGTCTCTAAAATCCACTAGTAGAAGGCACTTCAAAAAGAGTGAATTCCTTCGGGTTGATAAGAAAATACGAAAGTGGTATTTGTTTTTCCTGTGCATAGGTGTTGACAAGAACTCAGGAGCAAGTTGATGCAAAAGGGGTATAATTGTGTAATTAAGATAGCGCCAAATTATGTCATAGACAAAGCTACAAGTTGTGTTTTTCTTTGCTATTAGCCTATTAAAAAGATACAAAGTTACAAATGATCAAGGAAACTTATTTGCTCACCTATTTGAATTTGAAATTTCTAAAAGGGTGGTTGCTTTTTAACTCAGTAAAATCTTGATGATTAATAAGCTTCTGGTACTCATTAATTCATTAGTTGCCTTTTCGTCAATTATCTTTTTACATCACCTCTTATGCTTTTCTTTATGTTGTTGCAGTCCCACAACAGGGAAAGTCTGCTATCATGGAATCAGAACCTTGGGAGTACTCAAAATAAACAATCAAGTTCCAATGACATGCAGTTTCAAAAGCTGTGAGTGTTTATATATGATAAATGCATCCATTTCTTATGACTGAGGTTTGTTATGAGCTTTCCTTGTTCTATTGTGGGTGGCAATGATCGAGACGAGCTTTTCCCATACAATGTCATTTTGAAATGAGTTGCAATGTGTAACCAACTAGACTTATTTGTTGCTTGAAAAGAATTCGAAATGCCAATGTTCTTGTTGTAAAAGATGGAGTCTTGTATTAGCTGTTTTATTTTCCCTGATCGAACCATGCATTTCCTTATAAGTTGCCCTTGTTGTAGATCATATAGAAGTGCTGAGAAAAAGTTATAGGAGACAGTGGTCTATGTTCAGAGGGCAGTAAATTTCTAAACATCCATATCTTTAGTTTAAAATATGCAAAATCTTAACTATAAAGTAAAGGATGCTTACTTGTTGACACTATGTGGAGGACTTCGATGAGACAAACTTTATGACTTATTAGAACTATGCTATATTGATCAAAACATCAGGGGTACCTCCAGATATGCTGGAGAAGGGGGCATGCCAAAGGCAACATATGTAGTTGTAGTAACAAGGACTTTATTTATAGAATAAAACAAGTGGACTGGCTTCAAAAGGGGTGAAGAAATGCAATTTGTGCATCCATTTGCACTTAGGTTTTGGTCAGTTATCCTTCTTATAGAGGTTCCGCTTTTAGCCCACCTCACCAATTTCAAATCAAGGCTTTCTTAGGTTCAGGTTCTTCACCATTTTCCTTCCTGGGAGATATACAACCATCTTTTATGGGGGAAAGGGGTTTGGAGTTGGTAATTGTATGGAGAGTGTGAGACGTAAGATTAAGCTGTTTTTGTTATATGTAAGAGTGGATGTGAAGATGAAGTAATTGCCTGTGTTAGCATACTAAGCTTTAATGTTATTTGCAGATCTCTATTGCCACCTCCCAGACAAGAAACTTTATCAAGACATTCTCTTTTAGGCCCTAATGGTCTTCGCAGTCAGTGGGCAGGCCCTAGTGCTCAGATAAAGGTACAAGTCATCATGCTTTATTATACTTTGAATTTTGAACTCCAAGACTAAATCGTGTTGTGTGACACAGGTGCAGTATCCAACGTATAGCGACTTAAATTCAAGTGATAATTTAAGGTCAGCATCCTTACAGAAGTTTGCCTATTTTAAATTTACTTTGAAGCCTAGTAGTTCTAGTGGCATTCCCTGATTATTAATATTTTAATCAGCACTCTTTATTCATCAGTAACTTGTAAAATCCCTTTGCATTTTCTCTTTGTATTTTTCTGCTAGATGTTATCTGCTTATACTATATTCTATTGTGCTCGTAGCTTAATTCAGTCTGCACAAAGTGACCTTACTGGTGTCAAAGATGGCAACTCAGGAGTGGATATATCTACAATGGAATCAGTGCTCTCGTTAGATGATGGTAGATGGTCGCGTCCTGCTGTGGAGTCATTCACTCAGTTTGATGATGATCATTTTCTTTCTGGAAATATTAGGCAACCTTCTCCCCCTCCTGTGCTTGCTCGACTGCAGCCAGAACATAGTCCAATTTCTCCAGCACGAGTTGCTGACCCAAGACCTGGACCTGCAAAGTCGTTGCAAGATGATGCAACCACTTCTAATACATATCACCATTTACATATTGTAAGTTGTATTTCTGATAAATATTCCTTCTATTCTTGGAAGTTTGAGGAGTATTTCTGACCACTGTTCTTGGTAGATGTGACAACTTTACTTTAACTTTTTTGCAGCCTGTACAAATGATGCAAGCTTTTTTGAGATTGGCACAGGAAAATACTAAAAAAAATTTAGAAACATGTGGTGTTCTTGCTGGTTCTTTGGTAAGAGTACATTAGTCTGAAACTCTGAATTGAATAGACTAATGTAGATACTTTTCTTAAAGTTGTTGGATCTTGTTATCTTACTTATTTTTATTAATCTGACTGTAGAAAAACAGGAATTTTCAAATCACCACACTTATTATACCAAAGCAGGAGTCGACTTCTGATTCAGTAAGAATTCAGAACTATATAATATCAATCTATTTAATTGTATTTGCCATCGAGTTGGTATTTATACAAGGCTGTATGATCTTTTTCTTATCAAGTCAACCCAGCCCTTTTACAAATTAGGCAGGGTGGTCTAAATAAATTGTTTTTGATCTTCTTCCGTTCCAAAAATAGATGAGCTTTAACAATTTTATCCATCTAAACTGATGTTTTCAGTTTGTCATAAGACGGTGATACTCTTGATCAACTTCTCCAGTCTGTTAGTTCTCAACATTTTTGTCTTACCACACCTCTTTCCTTTAATATTGATATTCAAGTTCACTAATATTTGCATGATCAATTTTACAATCTATGGTTGTGATTTGTTGTTTTTGGCTGCATTTCTCTAGTTGGTGCATTCGCGATGATAAACTAACTCCTGATGCATTGTATTTTGCCACCAGTGTCAGACACTGAATGAAGAAGATATATTTGAGGTTCAGGACAAGCGTTCTCTCTTCCCTCTTGGATGGATTCATGTAAGTGCCTTGATGTATAGCTTTGCTGACAAGCAGTCGTATACTACCTACGGTTGTATGCTGATATGTAGATTGCAAAATGATATAAGGATAGACTTTTTGATGTTTTGGCCACGTGAATTTTTCCAGACTCATCCATCGCAGACCTGTTTCATGTCATCAGTTGATCTGCACACTCATTACTCATATCAGGTACAATAGAACATACTGTAATTTGTGTGTTTCCTGACTCCACTCATTGATTGAATATACTAGTTTCACATTGTTCATTGATGGTCAAATTATCTGTATTGATACATGAAGGCACTCAATGCCTGAGTCAACTCCTGGGTCCATTGACAAGGCTGATTGGAGGGATGTGAGGGAGGATACAAGGTAGATGCAGCAAAGAGGGATGGAGGGAGGAGTAGCTGATATGTGGCTTCCCTGATAGTGATTGAAAATTTTGTTGTGTATAGTGAGATACTGTAGTTTAGATGAACAAATGGGGAGATACTGTTGTTGAACAGTTGATTAGTGGACTTGAAGGAGAGGAGTACGTTCTTGTGAGTATCACATCTGCTAATTGATTGGAGGAGATACTAGAGAGAAGAAGCAGGTGTAAACCACTTAGTTGACTTTTATTGGGAGAGGGATCAGAGGTAAGTAGCTCTAGAATGATATGCTAAACCATCAACCAGTTAATCATAACTTTGAGTGATGATACTCTCAAGTGTTCCAAAGATGGTTATAATTATTGGGGGTGTTGGTGTTGAAAGGTATGTTGATTGTTACATCAGAAGTGGTAGTAGCTGGGTTGGGTTGGATTGGGTTGAGGAAGACATCAGTGGAGTATTACGGTATTGACTAGAATTTGAAGGCGATGGGTCCTTTATTATTTAAATGTGGTTAGACCTTAGGTGCCTTAGTTGGTAATTAGGTCAAGACCCTTTGAAATGATCAAAAGCTGTTTTGCTCGTGTTTGTTTAGAATGTTTTGCCAGGTGATAATGTACCATGCCTCATGCACAAGTCGCAACACACTTTAGTCCAAGTAGGTGGCTAAGAAAGTATCTTTCATTAGTTGGGTGCTATTAAGTTTGTATAAGATGAGCAGGTGAATGAAATGGTAGCATGCATCTGGAATCTCACGTCTTAGGTGGCTTTTGGTTCACAAATTTCTTTTCGAAGGAATGAAATTGTCAAAAGAATTCAATTGACAGGGAAATGGAATGGAAGGGAATGTGATTAACCCAAACATTTGGTTGACATGGAACAGAATTGCAATTTAATTTTTTTGTAATTTCATGCTTGGTTTGTATATATATCTTTGGAATTGGAGTGTAAATAATCGCAAATGTCCAAATTACCCTTTATATTCAATTTCTTTGTGATTTTTTCTTTGGCTTATAAATACATATTTGAACGGGATGATAAATAAATTAACCTTTTTAATTTATATGTTTATCAAACCTTTTTAGACTCCATTACAATAACAATAAATTTTACCAACTACTAAAACTGTAATCACATGTCATAGTAATGAAGATTGATGGATGGATTTAGTGAAATCATCCACCTCAATTGTATTCTAAGATATCAACATCGAACCAGTAAACATAAAACGCCAACATATAATGGCACATCGGTGACCACACAATGGTTTAGCACATTCCATATCCCTCTTGCATGTATTATTCATTTGAATTCCCACATAATGTAGCCGTTCGACCGTTATTTCAAGGTTTCAGGTATTCCAATAGATTGAGTCACCAAAAGAGTAGAGAATCAACTAAGAAATGGCAGTTTTATGATAGTTCCCCGTAGCTGCTGGATTGATAGGAAAAACCAAGTGATCAACTTTTGCATAATGATTTATTTTACTTTAGACCTTAAGGTTGTTTTGCTTTTTAGAGCTGAAGAGAAGCACGGTTTGCATGAGTGGTTGAGCTTCTATTTTCTTTGGGTCTAAATATTTAAATCCTTGCTGTTTTCCAAATATTGCTAAATGCATGCCTTGATTCCTCATTCTCACACTCTCTTTGCATGTACCCTAGGCATATCACAGGTCAATCATCATGCTATGCTGAACCTTAAACAACTGTAATCAGGATCACACATTCACGGTTTGTGATGGCCATATAACACACAATGGAGATGTATGCATTAATGTATGATAGGAGTGGATTATTGTGTTGCGCAACAAGTTCAATGGAATTTTTTCACAGATGTTGCAAATCTCTTTACTTATGTTTCAGTAACTGTTGTTTTTTCCTTCTTTTTCAGATTATGCTTCCAGAAGCAATTGCAATTGTGATGGCTCCTTCAGACACATCTAGGTACAGTTCTATCAACGCCTGCTTTCATGCTTAGAAATCTATATATGGTATTGAAATTTGAAGCGTAATTTTGGGTACAATTTCATTCTAATTTGCTATTCACAGTTACAAATATGTTCAAGGAACCTTGTTATCTTTCACGAGTGATTCTATAGTTCTTATTTTAGACTAGAAATTGGAAATCATATTGGCGAGCAACTCTTGGGCTCAAATTTGGTCAAGTATTGTATTTCTATCCTTCAATGCATGAAACTGCTTGCAAGTATTTGAAAGGTAGAATATTTTTACAAGTTAATACGCCCAGCACACTGTACTAGTGTTTTTTTGTTGGATTCAATGAACCTTAATATTGAGGCTTATGATTTTTGGACTCGAACATAAAATACTGTTTTCGCCGTTTCATGTATTAAAATTTTTATTTTTTTGACCATTTGTACTCCAAAATCCTCGTCATATTTTGTCACCCTCACTTACCGGGTAAGACTCATGGTCCTTGTCTCGCTCTTACCGGGTAAGATTTTTGGTCCTTGCCATATTCATCCGGTGAGGTAATGTGACTTGGTAAGCGTTTGCCCGGGTAAGTGTTTGGTAAACGGCCCCTAAATGTTTGATCAATTTACCCTTGCTAGTTCAGTGCAATCATCTTGGTCTTAATATTGTGATTGTTTTTTCACAAGGGTAAATTGTTTAGAACCTACAAATTACAAATTTTAGCATGAAATTGGAGTAGGATGACCATGTGATTGGGGACAAACAACTATTTTTCACAAGGTAGTAGAACCTTTAGTATTCCGTGTTCAAAATGTGAGTGGTTTAAGCTTTTGACATATCGATATAGGAATGCAATTTTTACCTTGCAGCTTGTGACTTCGATAAATTTTATTCCATTTTATTCCACTTTACCCATCTTTGAACTTCCTTGACAGAAAGAGAAAGATGAATTAGGCTTATTTAATGAACTGTATTATCTGATTGCTTTTTAAATAGCTAAATGACTAAACATTACGAAAATGGTAAAAGATCCTGAAGTGGGCAAACAGATTGCAAATTTGCAATGGAGGGAGTATCTGAGTTCTCCTTTAACATCAAAATTGACAAGAAAATTTTCCTGTGGAAAAAATTGATTACTAGTAATAGAACAGAAACGCAGTGGAACTTAAGCTGTTTCAAACTAGAATTTGAGATTCAATTTTAGGGACAAAGGGAGCCTGTATTTAGCTATGGACTGTCTTCACTTGTGAAGACGATGATGGAGGGATTATATGTGTACTAAACCTTTTGTTTTGAATGCAGTCCGCATGGTATATTTCACCTTTCGGACCCTGCTGGAGTGAAACTCATACGGAATTGTGATCAACGTGGTTTTCATCCTCATGAGGAACCAGATGATGGCAGCCCAATTTACGAGCATTGTTCTCATGTTTATATGAATGAGACTGTGAAATTTGACGTTGTAGATCTTCGATGAACTTAGTTACGTAATTCCAGCTGTAAATTATTTTCACAGATATGTTTTTGTGAATATGATCTGGGGGTGTGAGGGGACAAACTTTTTGTGAAGAGTTGCAGTAAGAGACAGACAGGTATATGTTCCTATGGTATGTGTCTGAATATATTGGTTACATACGGATTATTAGTCATTATGTCAATTTTTGTTATATATATATATATATATGTGGGTAGGTTTAAACAAGAACGTTAACTATTTAGGAAAATAAGGAAAAAGTTGTTAATATAAAAAATCATATAATGTTCACGTACAATAATGTTTATGTACAAAATCATACATGATGCATACATACATATACAAAATTATACAGGTTCAAAAGTCCTCCGCTTTCATTTTTTTGATGTTAACGTTAAATCACATGTGATTTTGTATATTAACGACTTTTTCTTGTTTTCTTAAATGGTTAGCTTTCTCATTTGAACCTTCTCTATATTGTATATGGTTTAAAAAAGAGGATATTTTATGGAGCAATAAAACTCAGACGTTCCCTTCTTTCTGGAGAAAGTGATTATGAAATCAGAGTATTTTTAGCCATTCCATCCTTTTCAATTTTCAGCAGGGTCAAATAAGACATGGGTAAATGTAAGTGATTGGTTCGGGCTTAACTGAATCTGGCGTAAACTCTTAACCAGTTAAGAAGGGACCGGTTGTAAATGCATAGATTGACCGATTAACCATTTAAAAAAAATTATTAACACACCGGGCCAATTATGATCTGTAGCAATGGCCAACTATTATGGTAATTTAACAATTAGGTCTCGTTTGATTTATATGATTGAATTTGGAGGAATTTAGAATTTGATTCCATTACAAACCCATGTTTTTTTTAAAGAATTTTCTAAATTTGAAATCTCACAAGCCTGGTTTAGATTTTGTAGGAATTGTATATAATAATGTTTTAAAATATATTACAAGTATTTTGTTTTTAATAATTCATTAATAAAAAAAGTAATTTAATTATTTTTATAATTATTTATAATTGGTTTTTATAAAAAATGGAATTCTATTCTAAATCCATCAATTCAAACACATTAAAGATTCCAAATTCTTCCAAATCGTTTCGCAAAATTTAAATCTCTCACGACTATTCCATCAAACCAAACGTCAGCTTAATGTTTTTGAATTTCCCAATCGTCATGTGGCAACCTCTCATAGGACAAGCAGTGGAGATAAGGAAAGCTATGGGATGAGTATGTGTGTGAGAGGCAGGGTAAGGGTAAGAATAGGTGGTGGATTAATGGGTTGTACGCATGCTCTATAAACAAAGTACTCGTATATTGAAATTTATTTGATAAAAGCAAATAGGAAATAAAAAGAAAAAGTGTAAAAAGACTAAAATGCCATCATATATTCTTCACATGACAGGATTCAACTAGCCTCCAAAACGACCATTGATGGAGATCCGTTCTTACGCTTGTCACCTTAACTCTCCTAATCGGAACTCAAGCCATCTATTTAGGACTTATTGTTTAAGATGAGAAATCATTCCTAAAATACTTAAGTGCTTGGGACATTTTATTTGCTCATACGAGTTTGTGTTTCATAAGCATACTTGAGAAGTTAAGGGGAAACGTTGTCGAATTAATTCTTAAATATTCGATCTGTTAACACGTATTCATATATGAAACGAATCATTCAAAAAGTACGTTATGATTGATGAACTATAGAACGCATGTATTTAAACGATCATTTGTTTTCTAGATTATAAATGCATACATATAAACAAGTACTAAAACAAAAATAAGCAATAGGGTTATGTGTTAAAAAACGATTCATTGTAGATTGGCATCAAGTAATACAATCGCTATTAATTTTATCGTTATTCATTGGATTCTCAACAGTTTGTAATCAGGGGCGGATTTAGTTTATATTGGTAGGGGTCCTAGTCCCCGAACAAACCCACCAACTTTAAAAAAAAAAAAGAAGACTATAAAATATGTATTTAGTAAATTTTCCTATTGTGCCCCCAACAAGAACAAGGCAAGGGGCCCCAACTTGATATCCTGATTGTTAATTGGTCAATTTGCAGCACACACTGTTATTTTCGTTCGAAATATAAAATATAAAAATTATACACCTCGATGAATAAGTAAAAAGTCAACTGAAAATCGGTCTGATTGTTAATTGGTCAATTTATTCGGTTAACTGAACCGTTTAAGCTGAAAAGAAAAACCCAAAACCGTTTTCATCCGGATGAATTATTTGGTTTTGAAAAAAAAAATCTATACCCCTAAGTGTGCACTCCAACTATAAAAGTTTCTGAATCCGCCACTGAGTTTGTTTGTGTTTCTAGTTTGTTTGTGTTTCTAGTTGCAAGTAGGATTGTTATTGTAAAAGAGTTCAATGTCTTTTAAATGTTTAATGATTTTTGGTATTTGATTTCACATTTCGGTTAGCAAATAAAGAGTCGGGATATTTTTAAACTTGATGTGATAAACTACAGTCCCATGTCGGCTTCATTGACGAGTCATGATGCTGCGATATAAGATCAACATCAACTTTCATTTCACTTAACTCATCAAAACAAGAAGTGGCTACTAATATACAACCGGGGGCGATAATCAATAACTTCACCTGGTTAACCGGGTATGATAAAACATAATGCAGGGGCGGACCTTATTTAATGTCATCGCTTCATGGCTTTATTGTAATGAAAAAAGAAATCACATTTCAAAAGGTGTTCCTGTATCGTTCTGCTAAATCTCCTTATGTTCATTGAAACTAAAATAACAACACAAGTTTCTCTTGGATGAGCTGATTTATATGGTCTTTCTCACCCTTCGAAGCGTGACGTTTCACTACAACAAAATCGGGTTTATAGAACACTCTCAAATTTTAAGTGTTCTAATAGACATCTTTATAAGACTTAGTTTATAGGACCAAAAAAATAAAGTATCTTATCTAAAGGTGTTGTAATAAGTTTATATGACGCTTTTGGGCGTCTTAACAAGTTTTTAAGACATTTTTAATACAAAGTGTCGCATTAGCAACTTTATAGGATACTTTTGAGAAAATGTCATATAAACTCATTTTTTTATAGGACACTTGTTTTTGTATGACAATTTTTCAAATAGTGTTTTATAAAGTTGATAATGGGACACTTTATATTAAAAAGTGTCCTAAAAACTTATTACGACAGTAAAAAAACGTCATATAAACTTATTACAACACATTTAGACATGACACTTTATTTTTTTGGTCCTATAAACTAAGTTCTATAAAGAGGTCTATTAGGATACTTAGAATTTGAGAGTGTCTTATAAATCCGATTTTGTTGTAGTGTTTGTACCAAAATTTTATAGTTTTTTTTTTTAAATTTCGCGTTTATTGTTATTCTGTATACAGATGAGATAAAAAACTATAAAGAGCCTTGTTTCTTGTACACAAGGCAAGGAACCAACCAATTTCGTAAAAGTATCAGTCGTTTTGTTTCTTATAGTGAAATTGTGTCACCGCTTGAGAAAAAAAAGGCAAGGTTCATCTTTGACATAGCAAAGAGCAAAGAAAGCTAAGCGTAGTTAAGACAACTAGGTACAATAACCATTAATAATCGTTAATCGTACTTGATTATTTTGGTTGAAAAACCGAGTATGATAACGATTGCTTGTATTCAGTTCATTGTTAGTTGATAATCACACCCGTTATATTAAAAGATACTGTGCCTACGGATGTTCAAATGTGAGACATCCCCAAAATATTTAGTGTCCAATTATATGTTTTAGTCTTTACCTAATTAAAAAAGGGGCCGTCTACCAAACACTTACCACAGTAAGTACTTACCAAGTCGCATTACCTTACCGGATGGATATACTAAGGACCAAGAATCTTACCCGGTAAGAGTAAAGGCAAAGATCGAGAATCTTACCCGGTAAGTGAGTGCGGGGACTCTTACCATGGTTAACACTTGCCAGGTGAATTGTTGCATACAATACCGTTTCAGTGGCCTAAAATCTTACCCGGTAAGTAAGTGATAATGTTGAATTTTGTAGATAAACACTTACCCAGGTAAACATTTGGTAAACAACGCATAAGTGTTGATATTTAGCTCAATTATACATGTTTTAACTCAATTACTATGTTTTAGGTTTTACTGATTTTGTCTATTTGCAATTCCTGATTCCGACTTTTGAAGAAATTTAAAGAAAATGATTACAGTTAAGTGAACTTCATATGTGACTTTGTCATTTTAACACATTTTTGCTGTTTTTTTTTTCATTTACAAGACTTGTAATATAATATATCATATGAGCTTTTATATTTTATTTTATTTGTTACTCATCTAATCGAGCCATAGTTTAGGAACAGCTGTAATAGAGCTTTCAAAAAACTTAGAACTGCCCTAGGTACAAATATACTCGTAATCGTACCTGGTTTAGTTAACTAACGTGGTCCTAATAACTAATCCCGGTTGTAGGTACCAAGTTTTTTATATATAATAAACCGAGTTCCACTTTATCATTAGGCTGATAATAGAACAAGTCATACCGGGTACTGTTTGTTGTTTTAATGACTAAGTTATAAAAAATTCCCACTGAGTTAGGTCGATGGAGTGGGAGCATGTGCAAGGTGCACCCCTACTCTCTATGTAGGTCCGACCCTGACCACGATAATAGTTAGTGAGTTAACCATAAACCATTTGACCGATCGATATGCATTCATGTCAAGACAACTACTTGTCACACCAAAGGTTAATATATGTTCGTAGTTGTACTGTTGTAATATACACATTCTTTTGTTAACCATCTAATTAGTGAAACTATGTTAAGCGGGGTATCTTCGTCTTTTTCCATATATTAATACCACATTCTTTAATTATCTCATCCACTTAATTTTTACATTTGTTAATTATCTAATTTCAATTACCAGTTTGAAAGAAAGCTATAATGAACTTTAAACAAAAATCATTGTTTTGCATATGAACTTCTGGTTTCACCTATGAACTGTGTTAATTATCTCATTCACTTCCTGGTTTCAACTATAAACTTTGCTAAAAGTATTGGATCTACAGAAGTATATACATGAGACAACATTATGAACCCTAAACAAAAATCATTGTTTCATCTGTGAATTTTGTTTAAACTACTTCAGTTATCTCGTTTACTTTTTGGTTTCATCTATGAACTTTGGTT